AAAAATAAATAAATAAAAAATAAAACCAAATGCGAATTGGGAGAATTAATTGTGAAAAACTCAAAGTCACGAGAATAAATACAAATAGTTAAAATTTCTAGCTTAAAAGGTTGTTTGGTAGACCAGATAAGGTGGATAAAAAGAATTTATCTATTTTTATTTTATCCAGATTTATATTTGATAGATCAGATAAAGTAGAATCGGATAAAATTGGGTATAAGAGAGATTGGATAATAGCAGGGTCAAATCCAGATAATATATTAAAGAAAGGGGTAGAATAATTTTATCCAACCCTTATCTAACTTATTTAGACAATATTACCTTTACTACTACTAATTTTACTACTTTTATTAAATAAAATAATTATTCAAATCATATATAATTAAAATAATTTATCTAATTACCTGTATTACTTTTAACTTATCCAATTCTATCTATCAAAGCACTCGTAAATGTATTATGCGATCAAATTTACAAGAGTAGATATTAAATTTTGCTTCGCCAAGCCAAAACGGAAGGAACTCTTGCGTTCACGTTATAGGTCACGTCAAGTCAAATCAAGTCTGAATTTTCGTCCTTTTTCGGACACAGACGGCTCAGTCACAGAAGTATCAAGTGAGGACATGTACTGCGCAGCGGACCAGTGGCCAATAGATGAGACATAGTCGACACGAAAGCAGAGGTAATCAGAAATTTACGAAATTTAGAGAAAAACATAAAAGAAAGCTCTGAGAAATCTTATCCACACGATTTATTATTTGTCTTTTTTCCGTTTCCTGTCGTTCAAAAATCCAAAAACAATACCAGCTGTGCCAGTGATAATAACTCCTAATATTTAAATTTATTTAATTTAAAGTTTTATATTTAAACTGACTCTCTGCATTATTAATATTAATTATTCATGAGTCTCACTTTAAAACATAAGACTAAATTGTTTCGAAAATAACAGTTTATCTAAACCTAATAAATTTTCTGTTACTAACAATTTTATATTTTTTTATTCTTCCAATTTATGAATGTAAATTACTCATATACCCCTCATAGTAAGTCATATTTTTAGAAAAAATTGATACGTATCTACTTTAACTCTTTTTTACTAGTCAATTAACTAGGAGATTTAATAGGTTCAGTTGAAATAACTCGTTTATGAAATATAGTCTATTTTTGTTTATTCCTGGGATTGTCCCTGATTGCTGCTAGATGGATTTTGAGGGCTTCCTTTCTCATTTACTTTAACGCTGGACGTGTATGTACTGAACAATATACAGTGGTCTCGTACATTTACCTTTTTCGGTATTCAACAAATAATTTTGAGAGCTTCCTTTCTAGTTTATTTTGATGCTGAATGTGTGGCGACAACTTTATACGTCTACTATTTCGTACATTCAATAGATATTAAATGGGCTGTTTAATATGCGGACACCCAACGTCATCTTCCCGGGAGGCTGTCTCAGAAAGGTTGTTTGGGGATTCTTTAAGGTTGTTTTGTGTGTGTTGGTTGTTGGTTTCTTTAATGATTTCTCATCTGAGCAAACATTGTTAATATTTTTCTAGAGGTTTTTAAATGGTAATTGAATTCTTTGATTAACAAAAAAATCTTATTAAGTCAAATATTAAGAAGAATTTGATCATTTACTGTAAATTCAATAATTACTGCCACTTTAATTAGTCTTATATAATTAAACAACAACATTTCATTTTCATATGAAATGAACTTTTTTACAGCCGGAAAGATTTGAGCGTGCATCACGACGTTCAGGCCAAGTAGAAACCTGACAAATTTCCTTTTTGTCTTTTAAAAAAAGAACTTTTAGAGCAATTCATTTAACGTAAAATTAATTAAAAATTTAAAAATGATTTATTTGTATTTTTGGAAGCCAAACACTTTGTGTGCACGGTTAGGTAGTGTTTGTAAACAGAGTTCAAAGAAAAAGTTCGTAAAAGGGGGTTAGAAGTAGAAGTTAAGTATATTTGTAAAATATGTTTTAAAGTGGCGAAAATAGTAAAATAAGTATTTATAATGTAATTTGTATAATTTTAAATTTAAATCTAAAATATCTAAAAAATCAACTTGTAAAGTTTTCTCTCAAAAAAAAGATAAAAATAAATTTGTATTTAAGAAAAATTTTGAGAATAAAAATGTCTAAAAAATGTTTCTACTAATACTACTTATAGTTAAAAGTTTTTTTTATCTAAACTTCAGATTCTGATTATTTTTATCTATTTAATTGAAGAGAAACAAAAATTACATGGGAATTTTTAAAAATTAAAAAAATAATTTTTACATGAAAAAACTCAAAAATAATTCTGAAAATTGTTGCCGACATCACTCTAATATATTAATATAATTTGAAAGATAAGTAGATAAAAAATAATTAATTCATACGCACGCAAAGCCATTCCTACTTGTAGGCTTACGTACGCATGTGCATGATATGTTCTTTCCCCTGTTGGACGGGTGGTGGTGGCGGAGGGCTGGCTTTAGTCGCTTTAATCAATTGTTGGTTGTCGGGGGTTGGGGGGGGGGGTGGCGGTGGTGGGTGTTGTCATCGTTAATGCTTGAACTTTGAAGACAGTGGTAGGAAAGAACAATCCAACTCACGGTGAAGGGGAGGGTCACGAGGTTCTAAGTTTCACCATGTATGCGTGTGTGAATTTTTTCTCACGTGTTTTTCCTTCTTCTAGTTTGGGTGTGAAGACGACCAACTAACTTTATATATTTGGCTGATGATTCAAATTATTTGATGGTTTAAATATTTTTAAACAATCATGTAGGTGCATATATAATTTTTAAATTTTTTTGGGTTATGCCCCTTTAAGTTACAAAAAAAAAAAAAAATCCCATTTGAATGCAGACATGGATTCTTCCATTTTTAGATTGAAATTAATAAAATTTGAAGCATCAATAATTTTTATGCACGGTTATTGTTAATAAAAAATTAAATATAAATATTTCATGAAATGACAAAACAAATTGTCATTTATTTATATTATTATAAATAGTGAACGCTGGTGATGTTCATTAAAACAAATTAAACGAACTAAATCGAGTAAATCAAATCAAATCAAATTATGATTTGATTCAATTTTACATAGATCATAACTTGATTTGGTTTAATTTATACTAAATGTTTTTTTCTTAAAATTTGGTTTGCAGCTTAGCCACTAAATCGAATCATGTAAACCAAACCAAATTGTAAAGTATGTTTGAATTTGCAATTTAGTCTTTCAACTTTTTTTTTCTTTTTTTTCTAGTTTCTCTTTTTTTTTCCTATCATTTCAGTCCTCATTCTTCTTTCTTTTCAAACTTTCAATTTTTTTAAATAGTCTTCAATTTAAGTTATTACATACCAGATATTTGTGTTTAATTTATTAAATTTATTGAATTTTTTAGTGGTCATTCTTTTCAATTATAAATTTAATTAATTTTTTTACAAGTTTGCAATTATATAAGAGTAAAGAGTTTGGTAAAACATTTCATGAATTAATTTATGAATCATAATTTTAAATTGAAACAAATCATAAATTGTGATTTAATTTGGTTTGATTTTTAAAATTTTTGATTTAATTTAGTTTTTAAAAATTATAAATTATAATATATTATTTATTTTGAAATGAAATCTCAAACTGAACTGAGACAGTAGCGAGCGCATCTGGTTGATTGAAGGCAAATCCAAATTGTACTCGGAGTCTTTTTTTTTTCTTTACTTTTTATATTCTTTTATTATAAAAATATATGCTTTAGCTTGGATGCCTTGGAGATAGAAGTAGGACAGCTTAAGGGGACTAATGCAATAAACACCTTTTATAAATACATGTATATGTTGGGTGCACCCAGTGCAAGTATGTGGGGGAGCCATGGAAGCCCTCTGCAAGCAAACGTAGGAAGACTAATTGTGGATAAATAGAGTGAGCCCTCTCTATGAGAGGAAAACTACTGTAATCTATTTTATATGCGGTAGAAAAAGTTTATCTGGATCTTGAGAGACCGTGTGGTTTTTCCGGATGAATTTTCCATCTAAATCCTGATTTTATTGCTTACTGTCTCCTTTGTTATGTGTGCATGTGTGTTTTTATTCCATGTGTGATTGTGTGCTGTGCGTGTAAGCTATCGGGACCTAACAATCCACGCACTTGTAGAAATGCAAGGAGCCGTTTTTTAAAGTTTTAAATGCACGTATTTCTGTTTTTAAGAATTAAATTTTAAAAAATATTATTTTTAAAATTATATTTTAAGAGTACTTATTTCAAAAAGTGGAATATATGTTTTTAAAATTTAATACACTTCTAGAGTTCTGTTAAGTTTTAAAAGTATGTACTTTACTTCTATTAAAATAATATTCATTTCTCTCATTCACCGTTTACAAGCATAACTTATATGTGTGTGTATACACTCACTCACATATTTATATATATATATACATATATATATATGTGCATGCACATAGACACATATATGGATATTTGTATGCATAAATACACATACATGCATAGGTTTTAATCTTTTGTATTTTAAATTTATCACTTTAATTTCTACATTGATTTTAAAATTGATTTTCACATTCATATCAACTTTCAATATACTAATTTTTTTCACTTAAATTTTTGCTTCAAAAAAATAATATATAAACGAAAACAGTTTTAAAAACTATTACCTTAAAAACATATATGACACATGCCAAAATGTTTTATTTGTGTTTAAAATATCATGCTTTAAAGATATATTTTAGTTTTACAAACATATGTTTTTCATATATTAAAAGAACGTTTCCTTAAAATTCACCCAGCCAAAAAGGGTAAAAATGGGAATATCAAGTTTTTATAAAAATAAAAAATTATACTATAAATCAAATGGGAAATAAATTTTATTAGAAATAATTGTAAAATTAACATAAAAAGCTACGAAGTTTCACATGCATCAATCAATTACTTTAACTTAAGACACAAGATTTAATTAACACTAAATAAACCAAGGATATATATATATATATATATATATATCAAGGTGAGAAATTGATGAGTAAAATTATTTTTTGGCAAATTGTTGGTACGGCCATAAGTGGGATTGCCCTCTGCAACGTCAGGCCAAAGATATCATTCATGTCCAGCTTCTCTGGTGTCAATCCATGAGGGAGATTCCAGTCAAAGTGATAAACAAGCGAAGCCACCATCAAACTCACAACCCTATGAGCAAGGGGAATTCCCGGGCACATTCTTCGGCCAGAACCAAAAGGAATGAAGGAAAAATGCTGACCTTTAAAATCCAATTTAGAGTTCAAGAACCTCTCTGGCTTAAAAACAGTTGGCTCTTCCCAATATTTAGGGTCGCGAGCAATTGCCCAAGCATTTACTATTGTTTGAGTATTCTTCGGTATTACATAACCGTTCAGCTCTACCTCTGTCTCTGTTTTGTGAGGGACGAGAAGCGGCACGGTGAGGTGCAACCTCATTGTCTCTTTTATTACAGCCTGTAAGGAGGGCAATTCGAGTACGTCTGATTCTTCTATTCTTTCTTTATCTCCCACCTTTTTCTGAATTTCCTCGCGCACCGTTGCCATTATATTTGGATTGAGTATTAGTTCTGTCATCACCCATTCAGTGGTAATTGAACTTGTTTCTGTACCTCCAAGTAGCAACTCCTGCACAAATTAAAGATTTTTCGTCAATATTAATTTGTCTTTTCAGTTGAATCTTTTTATATAATAGAAAATTAGAAGTAAATAATCAAATGACTAATCCAAAATGAGTTGTTTAACTATAAACCCCACATCATAGATTAAAGTTATTAAGATATCACATTTTACATTGGTTTTATATTTATTCATATTATAATTTGTACACTTTTAGTGAATTTCGCTTGCTGAATAAGGAAGTAAAGAATAAATTACAAGAACCCATTAATAAAACAAGTGGAATCAGAATATTTATCTTTCAAATTTTTTTTAGAAATTATATGTTAAACTTTATATATATAATCGGAGAACATAATAACATATTTCATTTAACAATTTTCTTTTTCCTCTTGATTTTTAAATTTTTTTCCCCTCTAATATGACTCATTATGACAGGAATAAGTGATAGTCAGTATGTTCTATTACTATTAAACGCAAGTAGAAAATAAATAGCTATATCATTTATATAATCACATACGTCATGCTTAGAGAAAGTTAATATGCCGTTTGGTAAAAATTAAAGACATAACTCAATGAGAGATATGCAGGGAGATTACATACCACTAGAAGAACCTTGACACATTCATAGTTGAGCTCAAGCTCCTCCTGAACATAATCAAGAAGAGAATCTAACATATCCCCATGTCTGGCTATGTTAAGCTTCCTGTGCTGCAGCCTCTTCGTGACAAACTCATTAGAAACAGAATTAAGCCAGTTGTAAGCAACTTTCGCTCTCCGCTTCAATCCCTGAGGATCTAGAGGCTTCAGCCAAGGGAAAACATCAGCAATATTAAACTGCCCGACGACGAACATGACTGTCTTCACGGCATTCAAGAACCCCTGAGCTTCGCCGGAGTTGTAATCGGCCACGTTCATGGAAAAGCACGTGTTAGACATTTGGTTCAGTGCCGTAATAAAGGCTAACTTTCCAATATCCACAGCTTCTCCGGTCTCGCTCATCTTTGTTACATGTTGAACCAGCTCTTGCATCGTCTTGTGGCGAAGCCGACTAGAGTGTCCAGCTTCTTTGGGTGCAGCAAAAAAGTGCTGAGAGCTCGCCGGATTAAGCGTGACTTATCTCCGGAGGGCATCCAGACCAGGTTCAGGTCGTAGTTTTGGACTTTGGTGATGGTGTCAGATATGACCCGACCCGAGAAGGCCTCGTCGTGCTTTTGCAAGACTTGCTGAGCCATTTCCGGGGACGAAGCTACGACCAGGGTTTTGCTGCCGAGACGAACTGTCATGAGAGGACCGTACTTCTTGGCCAAATTTGCTAGTGATTGGTGTGGCTTTGTACCAATTTCAAAGAGGTTTCCGACCAGAGGGAGGCCAATGGGTCCTGGGGGAGTTTTCTCCGGCGAAATAAGCCGAGGCCAAAGATCAGGGCTGAGAAAAGCAAGGTAAATTGGAAGAGGTTGAGAAACTCCATGGATGATTGATAGAATGAAAGTCTACAGCTCAGGAATTAATTTCTGGCTGAGCTGGATCTCCACTACTTGAGAGATACAGAGTATGATAAGAGGCCAGATAGGGCTGGAAGGCAGTGGTTATCGTTACCTACCCATTTAATTGTCACGTTCATTTCCTTGCCATGAGCTTGTAGATTCATTATTGGAAGCTTGATTTGTCACTTTTTCATTTTTCACATAGGCTGCTTGATGCCTCGTGGCATTGCAATTCGACCGCAAGCTTGTGTTACTTGCAGAGGTTATGTAACGAGAAGAGATATAAACGACTAAGAATTTCTTTTTTAAAAAAAAATTAGAGATTGAATTCTAAAATTTTAATCAAGAGTTTTAAAAATGTCTTAAATTAAAATTTAAAATTCATAAACCCTGTTTAATTACTAATCCTGGCTAAGTTAGAATAAACTTGGTAGTCAAACCCTTTTTGGCCTGCCTTGCCCCAACCCACGCTTTAGTTTATGGGGTGGAGGTATATTATGGATGTAAATAAATTTAATTTTAGAATTTTTAACCATTTAATTAATTTGGATTTGGATTTGATTATTGTGATTTGATTTTTGAGTTTGGTGCAAATTAAACTTGATGGGTTTATTTGAATTCGAGTTTGGATGCTATTTTTATGTGGTTTTAACTAATTATTTAAATATTCATTTCTGTATACCTATATTTATATAGGTATATACTTTATCTAAATCCTCGTACTATTATCTAAATTTACATCCATATATACACGTATGCGTGTACACACACATATATTTGTGAACATCACCAGACATATATAATATAAAAAATTCAAATTTTTTTAATTACAAATCAAGGATATTTACTATTGCATGAAAATATGTATTCATTATGTTGAAAATAACATTCAATAAAATCAAATTATAATGATGAAATTAAACTTTAATAACTATACAAATTATATTTTAACAATAATTCTATTAAATATTTTGACAAATAATAAAATAATTAGAATAAATTGTTACAAGTTATAACTCTATATTTGTTACACTTACAACATTGTGAACAAGTTACTTCAAAACTTGGAGTCCCCAAAACATTATAACTTATAATATTTTCATATTACTTAATTTCATTGAATTATCTAAAAAATAATAATTTTTTTAGTTTAATATAAAAGATTCTTGATCTTGATTTGAATTTCAAAATTAAAATATGGTATCTTAAACTTAATCATAATTTCATCTTTTGTATATATATAGTCTAAAAATTTGAATTTAGAATCTTACACTAAAAAGATTAATCAATTATCATTATGACACTTAATGTACACATGATGGTCTTTTAAATTTTATTTTATTTATTCAATTTTAAAATCTAAAATAAATATTAAATAAAACAATAAAGCCCGATTCATGATGAAAATTTTAGTTTCAAGTAAAAGAATACTACAAGGAAATATTATACTAAATTATTTTTGTAATTTATCACATATTATTAGTATTTTTTATTAAGTTGATAAAAATAAAATAAAACAAATAATAGAGTCAAGATGGACTCCGTTTTTTATTTATTTAAGGATTCTATAATACCCATAATTTAGGGGTATTTATGATTTTCCTACAATATACGGACTGAATTGAATAAATTAAATTAGTCAGGGATTAAATCGAGAGAATCAAGAGTACGGGATCAAATCAAAAAGAAATTAGAAACATCAGGGACTAAATCGAATAGAATTTGGAAACCAGTGACTAATTTGAAAGAAATCAGAAATTTTCTAGATTCAGATCGGTCGGATGTTCACAGATTTGGGAATCAAAAATCCAAGGAAATTGTCTGTGATTTGCTTGAAATTTTTATAAAAAGCAAGGCGAGGGCAATGGTGAAGGAAAACCCCTCAAACAATTTTACGAATTGATAGTAAAAATTGGGAGAAATTCTCAAAAAAAGTTCCTACGTCGGACAGTGCTCACGGCTTGAGTTCTAGGAAGAAATTATGCACAATAGGGGGTTTATTTTTCAAATTTGTTGAGCAAGCCACCGTCACCTGTTCGTTCTGAACCTAGTCACATGAATTGATCATCAATTTCCAAGTAAGATTCAAGACCTTCATGTAATTCTTGAGGCGGGTTGAGGCAAACAGACCCGGAAGGGGTTCGAGTCTATACAGGATCCATTTTGCTGAAATCAGTTGGGCTGCAGAGGTTTGGGCCAAGCCTTCTAGGGCGAAGCAAGGCCTTTGGGCCATTGGACTGGGCCAAGGCCAGCGGGTTGGGTTAAATATTGGACTGGGTTGCCCGGTTCACCTGTAACCCAAAACCCAGAATCCGAGACCAAATAGGAATTAAAAATAATAATAATAATAATAATAATAATAATAATAATAATATAAGGAATAGAAGAAAACCAACCGATTCACATAGAATTTGACCGGTTTTCTACCGGTTCAAGGGTAGAGTAATTAGGTAATTTAATTAACAAATTGTTTTGATTCCAATTCACTGTTTTTGTGTTCATTTTAAACCCGGTTCAGGACATTTTACATTAAATAGTGCAAAGAACCGGCCGGTTCAATGCCTTTTTAGACTGATTCAATGGTTCTCAAACCGGTTCCAGACTGGTTCAGTGTTCTGAAAATTAAAATATGACTGGTTTAATGGATTAAAGTTTGGTTCGTGGCCAGTTCACCCTCCTAATGACTAGTTCGTGGCCGGTTTAACCTCCTAGTGGCTGGTTCATCATTGGTTCATTACATTAAAGAATTGTTTAAGGTTTAAATATACTGGTCTTGATGTTTAGGAGAATGGTTTGTGACTTTGATACTCGGTTCATGAATTATTTGGCCGGTTCGGGACTTTAGTAACCGTTGTATGGGTTCGGGCACAAAAACTTAGGATTTTATTTGGTTTATATTAGGGAATTTATTTTATTAATTATTAGAAACATAAATTGAAATATATTATTATTTCATGATTTTAGATTGATCGTACAATCTGGTTGAGCCCGTGTTCGATATTGGACTTGCAATATATTACTAACATAGACTGCCATTATGTAGAATAATGATGTATGAGAGCCTTACATTTCAACAATATACAATTTGATATATCTATTATTTCTGTGAAATTTGATATGATTTTATTTCATATCTATAAATGTTTATTATATACATTTTTGAGAATGATTAAATTCTAAAGACAAAGGATGCATAATTCTGAATTTATTTTGGAAACCTGCATGTTATTTATATTAGATTTAGTTTTATATTAGTAAATAGAAATATTCATTTAAACTGTTTTGTTAATTCTAAAAAATAATATTTAAGGGAGTTTTCAGATTTTTTAATACTGCAGTTAACGACATTATGCGTTAAGCTAATTTACACCCTATAAAAGTCCCCATCTAGTAAGGGTGATGGTGCTAGATATTTCAGATTTCTGTTTATCAGTTTTGCCTATTTTGCACCTTAGCTGGGTCCCCATCTAGCAGGGGTGATGGTGCTGACATTTTAAATTTCTGTTTATTAATTTTGGCTGATTTGCACCCTATATGGGTTCCAATCTAGCAGGGGTGATGGTGCTAGACATTTTAGATTTCTGTTTATCGGCATGACTAATATATTGTCATTCTATTATTTGGCATGACTGATATACTGCCGTTCTGATTATCTGGGCATACTGATATGTTGTCATTCTATTATCCAGGCATATGTTGCCATTCTGATTACTAGCTGACTGTGTATCATCGCCTTGATTACCGGGTGATTGTGTGTCACCGTTCTGTTTCCCGATATATGTTATGTTCAGGATTACGAACTCCCTAAATTATGAAAAATGTTTGTATAAAACCTATTTTCAATAAATTACATGTTATATCTGTATGCATGTCTTTTGTTCTCATAGATGCAGATTATTATTCATTGGGTCGATAGACTTACCTTTATTTTTTTTCAGATTCTAAGTACGTTAGTCTGGTGGATTCTCGCTATCTGAGAGGAGTCCGCATTATCAGCTGTTTCTGTTTAAAATATATTGTTCAGAGTTAGTTATTCTATTTTTTATCAGACTTTGTATTTCTAAGATTTTAGTATACTCCATTTGACTACAGATAGGATTTCTATTTGTGTTGATAGAGTAGTTAGTATGGTTTAAATTTAATTTTGATTTATATCAGACTTCCTATTTTTCAATTAAATTCTGTATTTCTATTAGGTTTGTGGGTTGAAATTTATTCTGACCCTTGCACTGGTCAAGTATCCGATTTTGGGTTGTGACACATTCTTTAACATATACATATATACATGTAGAAAGAGCAATAAACAGAGATTTTATTTCTCTGTATTGTTTCATTTAAATAGTTATTTGGTTATATTTAAATATCTTTAATACATTCTTTGGAGTTATACTATCATATAAATTTTATTTTTCTTATTTTCAAAGAGAATATATTTTTTTAGAAAATATTTATAGAATGAAATTTAAATTAAATAAAATTTCTTTAATTTATTTGAATTTATAAATTTTGTTTTTACTTTTAAAATTTTTTTTATTTAAGCACTTGTCGGACGTGCAGGCTGGTGCCACTTCCAATGAGAATTGATGTCTGGTGATGGGAGGACCAATAGTGAAAAAAAAAATTATAAAACTAAATGCCAATTGAGAAAATTAATTGTGAAAAATTGAAAATTATAAGACTAAATATGAATACCTAAAATTTTTAGGGTTAAATATATCCTGCAGTCAAATTTACATGGCTAAATATGAAATTTTGCCTCCCAAAGCCGAAACAGAAGAAAGTCTCGCGTTCATGTTATATCAAGTAGATCAACTGAAGTCAAGTCTGAATTTTCTTCCTTTTTTGTACACAGACGACTCAATAATAGAAGTATCAAGTGAGAGCAAGTATTGTACAGCGGGGACAGGTATTGTACAGCGGATCAGCGGCAATGGTTGAGGTGCAGTCGAGACGAAAGCAGAGCTAACCAGCAATTATTCAAATTCACAGAAAAACAAAAAAGAAAAGCTTTGAGAAATCTCATCCACACAATCTATTATTTGTCCTTTTTTCACCTTTCCCTGTCATTCAAACCCCCCCCCCCCCCCCCAAAAAAAAAAAAAACCAGCTGTAATAGTGAT